GCAAACTCCTTCGAGACAAGAGTAACGACAGTTCTAGTCTTTGTGTTGAGGGTAAGTTGTCGTACAGTCCGCGTGGTGCATATGATAGACCTGTTGAATCTAAGTTGACCTTATGATAATTCCCCCATTCATCTGCTTACTCCGCCTATGTGCTTTTGATCTCCTTGTTTTGTTTATTCGTATCCGCCANACACTTGTGGAGTGACATTTGTGTCTGTGTGTAAATGCGCGCTGCTGACCTACTTACCCATGTGCGTTCATGCCTCGTTTGCTGAGCCTGCCTTGGCTAGTTTTTTCACGAGTTCCGTGTTATCGCACGTCCAATGAGAATCACGAGACCGTCGTCGGAAGGAACGACCGCAACCCACGCTACTGAGCCATCATTCCGCCCGCCGTTGTTTGGTGTGTGGACGTTGACACTGCCCTCTTCCGGTCAGTGACAGACCTGTGAACTTGTTGACGCTACGAACGTGAACAATTAAGGTTTGTTGTGCACGTTTGCTTACCCTTGTGCAAATAGTACCGTAGAATTACGAACCCAATTCTTCCTCTTGATATTCGGGATTGTCAAACCTACGCGTCACTCAAAGTTCCGTGTGCCGCAGACCATTGAAACACCCGAATTGAGTTCGCCAAAACTATAGGGTTTTCGAAGTTGCTATTTTAGTGGGAAGTTAGACTACTCAATTAGCACCTTCCCGTGACATCCTGCATGTAGCATTTTGTTAAAGTGAGCGAAATGTCAAGGTCATTGACCATCGCCGATTTGGATATTTTGTCGGTTTACGCGACATTGAACACGATATCGCACTTTAGCATATTATGGCGTTCTTCGGTGTTCCTAAAGAAGAAGAAACATCTTAAGAGTATTTAATGCAAATCTTCCCTATAGGATGAGTCGCAGGCGTTTGTTTGCTTTAGACACCTCAGATTTAACAAATGGGATATTTTCGTTTGGTGAACCTGCTCACAACGCATTTTCACCATGGGTCTCATATTCCATTAAGTGCAATAAAGTTAGATTGCAGCACAAACTTCAAGTGGCAGTGCGAGGGACATCTGTGGATGATTCCCTTTCCCAGATATGCATAGCTAGCTTGTAGATAATACGGTGTTACCAGATAGCTGTGGGCATCTTTCCTATTATAACTATGAAGTTCTATATGTGGTGACCACCAACCATGAAGCGGTCACCACGATGACGGTAGCCGTTGTCACTCACCTCGACTATCTGTTGCAGCTGCTGGATCCGTGTCTGTGTGCGACGCTAATTAAGGTTCCACACATATGCTCGGTAGCCCAACCCAATGAGCAACGACCGCCCCTTGTACTCGTATCTCTACTAGTTTTCACTCATCTCGAATACTTGTTGTAACCGCTAGGCCCGCGTTTATGTGCAACGTTGATAATGAGACTGCACCTATGCACAGTGACATAATGTGATGGTCAATGACGGTCTTGTGTACGGTTAACTATACGCGATCCCACTTGTCCTCGCTAGCTACAGTAAACATCATTGCACTCTGTATGTCGACCGGTAAAAATAAGGCCGCAGCTATGCGTGATAGCCACATTTGACAGCCTGTTGTACCCACAACTGTACTCGAGGTCATCTAACTTGGCTACTGATCGTACCTGTTGCGTCGATGTCCTTGTGCATACATACCTAATCTAATGGCGACCGATTAACCTAATACTCAAAACTGTACGCGGTACCGCCTACCTTGACTACTTATTGAAACTGCTAGGCCAGTGCCTATATGCAACGCTGTTTAGTAGGCCTCGGCTATGCGATGTATCCTGATTTAACTGCCAACGATGACCCGTCACACGCATAAATGTGCGCGCTCTCGCTTATGTCTGCTGCTTATATAATCGTAGAGAGCATGCAATCAGTGTTAAACACCGATCTTCATTGACGTACCTGCCTGCTACCTACAGTAATCACCAAACCAGTATCTATGCGGGCCGATAGAAACCAGGTTCCAACTATGCGTGACATCTTAACGACCAACGGCTGCCCATCATACTCGTAACCGCAGTTGATATCGCCTACCTTGGCTGCTTATCGTAATTGCAACACCTGAGTCTTTGTGCAACGCTTAGTTTAAAGCTGACGGTCTTTCATACTATACGCGACGCCGCTTATCTTCGCTACCTACGGTAGATATCAATCCAATATATATGCCGACCAGTAAAAACAAGGACTCAACTACGGGTGATAGCATAATCTGACAGCCTGTTATACTCACAACTGTACTCGAAGTTACCTAACTTGGCTATTTATCGTCATACTCATACTTACTCGATGCCGCTTATATTTGCTACCTTAAGTAAACATCGCAACTGTAGTCCACGTAACCTACTTGACTACCTATAGTAACTGCCAGGCCCGCACACATGCTCGTAGCTAACCATAATGCACCGGCAACACATAATAGACTAACCCAACGATCAACGGTGGTCATCGCCTGTCAAACTGCAATCACCACCCATTTTGATGGCGCGCTCCCAAATCCTACTCTTGATTGTGCCCCCTCAACCACTCCCTCCATTACCCGAAACAATGAGCTGTCGTTCACCTCGGCTACTTAGCGTAACTGCTATTCGCGACCCAGATAATGGGGCCTCACCTATGCACAGCAACGTAATACAATCGCCAACGACGGCGCTCCATACTCATAACTCCACGCGTTGATAATGCGCCCGCCATGAATTTACGAAAACACCATTGGCGAATTGCATTTTATTCATTGGCATCACTGATACAAGCTTAATTGGTAGTCGCTCCATTTTTCATGTTCTTAAGATCCACTTCACGGGACAAGGATTCTGAAACGGAAAATGGGCAAGCAATTAACCTTCTGGAACAGCACTTAAGCATCTGGATGTAATGGAATTTTATTTGTTTGCTTACCTAGTGGTTCATAATTCCCATTACCGTGATGAGGGATAAATGTATAGTCGTTGCGGATTGCCATGGGTTCATTGATTCGGCATTTGAGGCCTTCGAGTTACAATCACATGAATTCCTCGTCATCACGGGATTCGAAAGCGAGGTCTACAAAGCGTATGCTAAGAAATTAGGCCTCAAATTACCGGTCTCCATCAACTCCGAAATTGGACAAAACAGTTTTATTGCGACTTTCTTACGGGGCAGACTCCGCTCGTCCTCCATGGAACGATCAAGATCAACATCAAAGCAAGCTCTTTTAGCTGAACGGTAGGTAGACTGATCGGCAACTAATGGGAATAGTTTAATTTGTACATGTGCACTCACTTGGTGGACGCGCCCGAAGATTATCTCCACACAGCGGGCAGGGCTCATTGCCGCAGCAATAATGGTGATATGGAAGTCGATCACGTTGACACCATCAATCAGCAGGGTCAGTTGGCTGGCCACAGAGACCACAGGGAACAGCGTCGTTTGATATCGAACGCCACCGCGGTTGGTTGCGGTCGCCATCTAACACCAGAGGCTGGTTGTCCTGTGCACTAATTGCATTTTGACGCAACATCAGCTGGCTTGGGACAGTCAGACGCTTCACGCACACAGCAGCATTACGCAGTTTCAGCAGCTTCAGTTTGCCAACCAACCGATCAAGCTGCTTGTGCAGACGTCCGGGAAACGTCTAAAGAGTGCTATCTGCTGCGTTTGAGAAAAGCACAGGTGACTATATCTGCCACCCTCCGATTCCACCAGCAGCACGCGACCGCAGTCTCGAAACTTGGTTATGATGGACGACATGTCATCTAAGAAATCGACTGAAAGGTAACCAACGACCTACTTAACAATGGAGGTCAACATTTGACGCGATAGTTACGCACATCCTTGATAGTGAGTACCTTTCCAAAGTGGTCGGCGACGTATGCCGAATCTCCGATGACGGGGCACCGTATTTCAAAAGAACACTCCATTAATTCATCATTTGTCAGTCGCCGGTTGATGGGGAGCCTGTCAAAATTAAATTTGCTGTGTGGATAGTTGTGCTCCAGGTAGTAGGAAGTAGCCCTCAGGCAGTCATGGTACCGGCGAACGCTGAACCTTGCCGGACAATCAGTATGACGTGTGCTACAACTTACACACAACTTACTAGGTGCGACGAATTCCACGGCTTCTGCTTCGTCTGCAGGGATGTCTGCTGCAACGGTAGAAGGCTTTTTCATACAAAAGTAGCGAATTGCTGCTCTTTTTGGAGTTTATACGGACGAAAACAACAAAATGTTTCGTCTGCTACTCTTTCAAAGCGAATTGAAATGCATTGAATGAGAAAAAACTTTGAGCTAAATTCTCCACAAAATCATTCTACGCATTCACGTGCTCAGCAGTAGCAGCCACTTAAAATATGAATATCGCGGGCCTTGAATATCGTGGGTGTTGAGTAGATTTGAACAACTTTCAACAAAACTGCGGCCGTTTGGGCAGATCTCATACGCCCGAAAAATTACCATCAAATGTTAAAAACTTATGTTACAGTTTCCCTCTTTCGAACCACGGTTTCAGAGAAATTTTGAGTGTGCGTCTAGCCCACGGCTCTCCGTATCGGGAACCGCAACAAGACCAGACTGCCCTCCAAAGTATTGTAGTGAGACAGTCGCAAGGTGGTGTTGATGCCGCCGGTGGTGAAACACTATAAGTTTGTCACCTTTTGCAGAATAAGAGGATCCTCTGCGTTCAGACCATTCCGCTCCTCAAACCTGCTGACTGCCTCCATCCATTGTGAAATGAGCTGTTTCAGCTTGGCTGAGACACTTCAGCTTGCTTCACAAATCAATCCTTGTTCATGGCTTTCCTCCTCTCCTGCCACTGTCACGAGCGCTACAACTTCTGTCCCGTAAAACCGATATTCTTGGTGTGCAAGTGGAAGTGTCAAGCAATTTTTCTTTTCATGCTGAAGGAGGACTACCTCAGTTGGGTAACTGACGGAACTGCAGCCAGAGATACTAGACCATGCCAAGCGTCGGTCACCTCAGAAACCTTGGATATAGTTTATTCAATCTCACCGACACCAGCCTTTAGTCTTATACCAAGGCTTGTAACCATCTTTCTCCTTAACTTGCGAGTTGGGCTGAGACCCTCTGGAATCCAGTCTTAGTACAGATGGCGCAGAATCCAAGTAGACACATGCACCATTCATACTTCGGCTAGTACCATCGGGTGGTTCTTGTGTCTCCAGTTGTTGGGGCTTAGAAGTTATACCGTTGGTTGGTTTCTGCGGCCGCTTCGCTCTGGATGTGCGGCGCATCTTGTTTTCTGGACAAGAGCTATCAGTTTGACGTGAGTAACTGCCTTATTCAGATGTTCAGGCTCAACTTATGGATGCACCTCTCTGGCCCGTTATCTGCAAACAATAGCGAGAATGAAAGCAACCACCAATGAGGCATTTATAGAAACCTCTATGACTTCATTTAATGAAAGTAATTGGCATACCCAAGGACCCTAGTGCAATATGTTTTGATAGCCTCTATCCACGTGATGTCCTTTATCCGTCAAATGATGTCACAAACGGCGTTCAAGAATACACCAGTAGTGGTTCTTAGCGGGTTTACTCCAACATTATTATTGACACAATATATTCCTTCGACATTAAGATTTCACTCATGGTGAGAGTAAGGCCGCATGTGTTAAGGTGAGCCTTGAAAACTATCGTTCCCATCAAAGGAATCGTCCAGCTGCCTAGATGCGGTACCAACGGAAGAGGGCACCAGTGCTGGCATACTGCTAGATCGCCCGAACCTATACAGGAGCAGAGGAGATGCTGATATTGCGTTTGAACCACGGAGCTTCCGATCCGTGAGCAACTAGCTGTCTAAAACAATCTCGTCAAATCATCCACCAGAGGTGTGCAACGTGTATTAACACTCAAAACCAAGTCCAAAACATATATACAGTGGCTCGTATATGAAGTATGTGTGAAGACAACGTTCTGGAACCCCCGGCGCCTTCTGGATGCGAAGTTGGCAACCAACATTCGGCGGCTCCCGCATCATGATTGGCTGATGGGTCCAGGCTTCCGACCAATCAGAGTTCACATTGGTGCCGGGCTGGCGAGTGGGCCGATCTCTCAGTAATTCACGTGCGAGATGGACTTCTTAGCCGTAGCAGCGCCTAGCTGCGAGCGGTAAAGCGGTATGTTAGGTAATTCCGCCTAGCACTAGTACTCAAGTGATTTGCACTTGATTACTTGGTGATAAAGTCGTTGGCGCAACATATTAAACATATTAGTTCGATGTTGGTTAGTGAGCATATTGCGTGTACCAAACCACTGTCCACCCAAAAAGCGTTGTTTTTCGTTTCAAACCGTTGTTCATGAAATTTTTCCAGTGGATAGGTCATGAGGTATCAGCGTCAAATGGTAGTGGTTAAAGACTGTGACCCCACGGAGTGCTGTGGGACCTTTCAGCCTGGGACGCGCGCAGTCCTTCTTTTAGGTGATGAGGAACTTTGCGGCATATGGTACACAACCCACCCGAGACCGCTGGGATACACACGCTATCGTTTCTTGATCGGGCTGCCAACCTAGTTTTTGCCTATCGTAAGTTGGGGTTTTATTTGATGATGTTCGCAAAGGAAGTTGCGACAATCCTGCTTATTGCGTCTCACTTTGATATGATGCTCAGATGTGTTTATTGTAATGCTAATCGAAGATGTAAGCACATCATTCTTGATCTCTTTCTTTCAGAACATATGACATCACACTATTTAGTTACCCTTTCTTCCCCCCTTCCACTATATAATGAGGCTGTCTCCCCTCATGGTTGTATGGCGGTTGCGTGCTAGTATGCATTACCGATGTGTCCGCCGATGAGGTCCACCCTGTTTTGCTCGAATCTATAGACTCTGGCCGCCAACATTAGTCTGAGAGTTAGAAGGGAGTATGAGTGTTTTGCACTTGTGCGGCAGTGAAGCATCGGCGTTGAACACTGATGTCATGCTGTCGATGATGATGATGATGATGATGATGATGATGATGACACTTGTACCTAGAACATTCGCCACAATTTGACTTAACTACCACTTTCGGGTGAAGTGGGTGCAGTCAGGATTGGTAGCGACGCCAGCAGTAAGCTCTATCTATGGGAGGAGGACTAGTAAACGGAGGGTTCCTTGTGGTCATCAGTTACCACTGCCCGCACAAAAGGTTTAACGGAATCTATTTTCGACATCCAGCTGTTGTGAACTGTACTGTGTACAGCATTAGGTTGTTCATTCTTACGCATGTATCGCAGTCCATGGAGTGATAGCTGGGAGGTCGGTTTCATTGCGCAAAGGCAAAATTGTAACGGTAGGCGACCTTACTGTCTCTCAAAAAGACTAGAGTAATGCTCCTTCGAGAGTTCAATGTAATCATCTGGAGGAAGCTTCAACCTGCCTGGTAGAAAAAAGGCTTTCAGCAGCAACATCCTTCCGGTGCCTAGCTACCATGCCACCCGAAGGAAGCACGAGGGCTTGGATACTGTCAGGTTGCCCAAGCCTAGACAGGGTAAGTCGAGAGGCAGAGGTCGGGTTCGAACAACGGACCTTCCGGTCAGTAAATTCGCGCTCTGACCCCCTTGGACCATCTCGCCCCCTGCGTGATAGAGACAGCCGAAAGAATTAGTACGCTCCTTATCCTGGACCCAGTGCTTCCATAGTTTCCGAATGACCCCAGTGAACTGATTGTGGACGCTCCTCTTCGAAATAGTGACCGTTTGAAGGTACCACTCAAGTTTACCCATCTATAGCACAGGTTCAATCTGCTGGCACTGTAATGAACTGCTGAAATTTGGACAGAGGTATTACAGGATCCGGAACTATGATAGCTGGAACATTGCAACCGTCGCGAAGAGACAGCCTAACCGTAGTGTGGCGGTTCATGTATCTCCGTGACCCATTCAGCTATACTTGGTAGTCTCCGTGCAGTACTGACAGAGTCTCATACCAGGTTGATTAGTGGTTAGAGGTCTGACCAACATCTGTCCCTCCTGATCAGCATTAGATCATGCGTGGTGACTTGTTCTGCAAAAATGGAAATGTGCTTGCATTTCTTGCCAAACTTCGCTGCCTCGTGGTCAGTTTTTTTGAACCAGAGACTGTGGTTTGGGACCACAACCGTCCTCCTATCTAGGTGTGGGCGCCCTGCCAGTATCCCAGCCCACATGCAACCATGAATTGTACACACAAATAGACTCATACCACATCGGCCGTCGCGTGGTACCATTAGTCGGGTTGCTTTATATGCTACATTCAGCGGGTTACTGCTGGCGCCTCCCTTCTTACGCTTCCAATTTTTCCACTCAACTTTGAATACTCACTGCAGGTCCCAGCACTAGGATTGACCGTTTCGTTCGCTTCGCATCTTCTGTACGTCCAACTTTAGTAACAACCCTAAACACCTCGAAGTCTGTTTTCAAACCCCGGAAGCCTGTCTACTCAGCAGCCTTTAATGTTCGCACACTGAAGCAAGCAGGTCAATAGGTGGATCTTGCGCGTACGCTGAATTCCCTCTGCATTGGTGTATGTTTGTCAGAAACAGGGATGCATGACGCAAGTACTGTGATCGAACTGACTGCCCCCTCGCTCTCTTCCAGGTTCCGGCTGCGCACCTCTGGTGATGCACAGGCTGGATATGCTGGAGTGGGTATTGTATTGAGCGAACGAGCGGAAGCGACTCGGCTTGACAGTCGCCTTTGTGCGGTTTCTTTGGAAACATCTGTGAGAGAACCCAGAGAAAGTGAGATTCATCACACCCTGTTCAATCTGTCTGCTTACGCCTCAACTGACTGTAGCTCTGAAGCTGCCAAGGACAGTTTCTATGACGCTCTAGGTGCCCTTCTACAGCAGACTAAAAGCTCAGATACCATTATGGTTGCTAGTGACATAAACGTCCAGGTAGGTAGACTAAGCGCTGCTGAGGCCTGACTGGGCGGTCCTCTTGGATTGGACACGATACGCACGAACAACGGATACCGCTTACTTCAGATGTCTGCCGATCACAAACTGTTCATTTGCAGTACGAATTTCCGGAACAGCGGAAGTTACTTGACAGCGTGATGCCTACCAACAGACCAGTCCCGAATCCAAATAAACCACATCACTGTCAGTTATCGGTAGTGAGGGTCGATCACCGCCTGCCGCTCATTCTGGAACACCAGCGTGGACTCCGAGCATGCACTTGTACGCGGCTGCTTTTCATTGCGGTTTTTAGATGTACGCAAAACGCGCACACTTCAGTTAGCCACTGAGAAGCCAGGGGACGCAGAAGTCAAAAAATACATCAGAACCGGCTCCTCGAGCGCCTGTCGGACTGTCTGATTTCGGATCCTAGCGGCCACTTGGGAAAGATATCCAAAGCGCCCTCAGAACCGGAACTTCCGTTTGTGGCACAACGTAGCCAACCTCATCCAAACATTGGATATCTGATAATACCCTGTCTATGCTGAGGATCGGCGAGGTATTCCCCCTTGCCGTAACCCCATCTCCACTCGACGCGTCGTCCGATGGCAGGTGAAACTGATAGTTCATGCAGATTGTGAAGCCTGGTAGATCCGAAAGACCGAAGGAATGGAAGATGCGAAAATGCTAAAAACGTCCGGAAGCTGTCCCACTTGATTCATTGGACTGGTCCTCAGAAGCCTCTTGTCAGTGACATTATCAGGACCCACAATAGCTCCCTGATATACAGCAAAAGAAAGGGGTCGAACCCCTGGGCAGAAAAAACTCGTTCGACTGTGGCACTCTTTCGGTGCCTAACTGTCATGCCACCCGAAGGTTGTACGAGGGCTGAGATGCTTCCAGATTACCCAAGCCTAGACAGGGGAAGTCGAGAGACAGAGGTCGGGTTCTAACCACGGACCTTCCGGTCAGTAAATTCGTGCTCTGACCACTCGGGCCATCTCGCCCCTCTGGGCAGAGCACTTTGAACAGTGATATAGTTGGACACTTGCTGCCTCCACTCCGGAATCCAGGCCTTCGACAGAAAGTGAACTGTGAATATAGAACCGTCTTCAACCTCAGAAGTGCCTGAGTGCATATCTCTACTGAAGCGTCATCGTGTTTTTGGTCCCGATGACCTTCCTGCTCTGTTCAAGGATGGCAATGGGTTTCTCAGTCAGTGTTTGTCTAGCCTACTTGGGTCTATCTGGGAAATGATAATAGTGACCATTTTCGAAAAGGGTACTTGCAGCGAATGTAGGAGCGACAGGGGTGTTAGTTTCACTGTTATCGTGAGAAGGCTTCTGGCGTCATTGATTCTTCGTCGTCTTACGGTGGCATACAAAACCTTGACTCATTAGAATCAATTGGGATTTTAACCGGATGGAGGCTGTGTTGACCACAACTCCACATTCCGTTGGGTGTTAGAGCAACGCCACATGTACAGAGGACCCACAATGTTGGTGTTTTTTTTACTTCAAGGGTGCGTTTGATTTTGTCGATTGGTCAATGCTGTTGACTAGACTTGTTCAGCGGGGTATACGCAAGAAGTTTGAAAATAATCTGATCCCTATATTTACACACTTCTAGGCGTGTGAGTCTATGGTGAGCTCTCCAAAGCCTTCCTACAAAGAATGGTGTCCGAAAACGGTGTACACTCCATTTTTGTTTTGTTTTTTCGCCATTGATGAAATAATGAGGCGAACGCTAGGACGTCTTCGAAATCTCTCTTTTCAAATTATTGCTGGTGAGAACGTTGTCAGTCTTGAGTACGCAGATGGCATCGCCCTCATCTTTGAGGACCAAGGCGAAGTACAAGCCCTGTTGACTAGTGCATCCATCGTCATACTATCTTTCGGCATGTGCCTTTCACCTTCAAATTGCGAAGTTGTGCTTCAGAAAGTGCAGTTTCTGAACATTTCGCACACTGAAGCAAGCAGGTCGGTGGATGGATCTTGCGCGTACGCTGAATTCCCTCTGCATTGGTGTATGTTTGTCAGAAACAGGGATGCATGACGCAAGTACTGTGAACTGACTGCGAAGCAAGCAGGTCAATAGGTGGATCTTGCGCGTACGCTGAATTCCCTCTGCATTGGTGTATGTTTGTCAGAAACAGGGATGCATGACGCAAGTACTGTGATCGAACTGACTGCCCCCTCGCTCTCTTCCAGGTTCCGGCTGCGCACCTCTGGTGATGCACAGGCTGGATATGCTGGAGTGGGTATTGTATTGAGCGAACGAGCGGAAGCGACTCGGCTTGACAGTCGCCTTTGTGCGGTTTCTTTGGAAACATCTGTGAGAGAACCCAGAGAAAGTGAGGTTCATCACACCCTGTTCAATCTGTCTGCTTACGCCTCAACTGACTGTAGCTCTGAAGCTGCCAAGGACAGTTTCTATGACGCTCTAGGTGCCCTTCTACAGCAGACTAAAAGCTCAGATACCATTATGGTTGCTAGTGACATAAACGTCCAGGTAGGTAGACTAAGCGCTGCTGAGGCCTGACTGGGCGGTCCTCTTGGATTGGACACGATACGCACGAACAACGGATACCGCTTACTTCAGGTGTCTGCCGATCACAAACTGTTCATTTGGAGTACGAATTTCCGGAACAGCGGCAATTACTTGACAGCGTGATGCCCACCAACAGACCAGTCCCGAATCCAAATAAACCACATCACTGTCAGTTATCGGTAGTGAGGGTCGATCACCGCCTGCCGCTCATTCTGGAACACCAGCGTGGACTCCGAGCATGCACTTGTACGCGGCTGCTTTTCATTGCGGTTTTTAGATGTACGCAAAACGCGCACACTTCAGTTAGCCACTGAGAAGCCAGGGGACGCAGAAGTCAAAAAATACATCAGAACCGGCTCCTCGAGCGCCTGTCGGACTGTCTGATTTCGGATCCTAGCGGCCACTTGGGAAAGATATCCAAAGCGCCCTCAGAACCGGAACTTCCGTTTGTGGCACAACGTAGCCAACCTCATCCAAACATTGGATATCTGATAATACCCTGTCTATGCTGAGGATCGGCGAGGTATTCCCCCTTGCCGTAACCCCCTCTCCACTCGACACGTCGTCCGATGCCAGGTGAAACTGATAGTTCATGCAGATTGTGAAGCCTGGTAGATCCGAAAGACCGAAGGAATGGAAGATGCGAAAATGCTAAAAACGTCCGGAAGCTGTCCCACTTGATTCATTGGACTGGTCCTCAGAAGCCTCTTGTCAGTGACATTATCAGGACCCACAATAGCTCCCTGATATACAGCAAAAGAAAGGGGTCGAACCCCTGGGCAGAAAAAACTCGTTCGACTGTGGCACTCTTTCGGTGCCTAACTGTCATGCCACCCGAAGGTTGTACGAGGGCTGAGATGCTTCCAGATTACCCAAGCCTAGACAGGGGAAGTCGAGAGACAGAGGTCGGGTTCTAACCACGGACCTTCCGGTCAGTAAATTCGTGCTCTGACCACTCGGGCCATCTCGCCCCTCTGGGCAGAGCACTTTGAACAGTGATATAGTTGGACACTTGCTGCCTCCACTCCGGAATCCAGGCCTTCGACAGAAAGTGAACTGTGAATATAGAACCGTCTTCAACCTCAGAAGTGCCTGAGTGCATATCTCTACTGAAGCGTCATCGTGTTTTTGGTCCCGATGACCTTCCTGCTCTGTTCAAGGATGGCAATGGGTTTCTCAGTCAGTGTTTGTCTAGCCTACTTGGGTCTATCTGGGAAATGATAATAGTGACCATTTTCGAAAAGGGTACTTGCAGCGAATGTAGGAGCGACAGGGGTGTTAGTTTCACTGTTATCGTGAGAAGGCTTCTGGCGTCATTGATTCTTCGTCGTCTTACGGTGGCATACAAAACCTTGACTCATTAGAATCAATTGGGATTTTAACCGGATGGAGGCTGTGTTGACCACAACTCCACATTCCGTTGGGTGTTAGAGCAACGCCACATGTACAGAGGACCCACAATGTTGGTGTTTTTTTTACTTCAAGGGTGCGTTTGATTTTGTCGATTGGTCAATGCTGTTGACTAGACTTGTTCAGCGGGGTATACGCAAGAAGTTTGAAAATAATCTGATCCCTATATTTACACACTTCTAGGCGTGTGAGTCTATGGTGAGCTCTCCAAAGCCTTCCTACAAAGAATGGTGTCCGAAAACGGTGTACACTCCATTTTTGTTTTGTTTTTTCGCCATTGATGAAATAATGAGGCGAACGCTAGGACGTCTTCGAAATCTCTCTTTTCAAATTATTGCTGGTGAGAACGTTGTCAGTCTTGAGTACGCAGATGGCATCGCCCTCATCTTTGAGGACCAAGGCGAAGTACAAGCCCTGTTGACTAGTGCATCCATCGTCATACTATCTTTCGGCATGTGCCTTTCACCTTCAAATTGCGAAGTTGTGCTTCAGAAAGTGCAGTTTCTGAACATACCCCTTACAATTCAAGGGGACTGACTGAATGTGGAGAATTTTTCATACCTTGGTAGTTGTATTAGCTCTGATGGAAATGTCTGACGAATCTGGAAGGCCCGAATAACCTTTCCTAACTCGCGTCACCTGTGGAGTCCAAAAGACATATCATTGGGTCTCAGGGGTTGCGTGTACCAGGGTTGTTTTCTTGTATGATTGTGAAAGGTCGCCTATAAGGACAGGTGATGTAAAGCGCCTACAGGTTTTTGGCAACCGATGCCTCAGAAGCGCTGTTGGTATCGGATGGCTTTAATAGATTATTAACGAGGTAATTAGAAAACGTATTTGGTTGTGCGGCAGATACCTCAATCGCCCAGTGTTGCGCAACCAACAGACCAGTCCCGAATCCAAATAAACCACATCACTGTCAGTTATCGGTAGTGAGGGTCGATCACCGCCTGCCGCTCATTCTGGAACACCAGCGTGGACTCCGAGCATGCACTTGTACGCGGCTGCTTTTCATTGCGGTTTTTAGATGTACGCAAAACGCGCACACTTCAGTTAGCCACTGAGAAGCCAGGGGACGCAGAAGTCAAAAAATACATCAGAACCGGCTCCTCGAGCGCCTGTCGGACTGTCTGATTTCGGATCCTAGCGGCCACTTGGGAAAGATATCCAAAGCGCCCTCAGAACCGGAACTTCCGTTTGTGGCACAACGTAGCCAACCTCATCCAAACATTGGATATCTGATAATTGTCTGTCTATGCTGAGGATCGGCGAGGTATTCCCCCTTGCCGTAACCCCATCTCCACTCGACGCGTCGTCCGATGGCAGGTGAAATAGTTCATGACGTAGCCAACCTCATCCAAACATTGGATATCTGATAATACCCTGTCTATGCTGAGGATCGGCGAGGTATTCCCCCTTGCCGTAACCCCATCTCCACTCGACGCGTCGTCCGATGGCAGGTGAAACTGATAGTTCATGCAGATTGTGAAGCCTGGTAGATCCGAAAGACCGAAGGAATGGAAGATGCGAAAATGCTAAAAACGTCCGGAAGCTGTCCCACTTGATTCATTGGACTGGTCCTCAGAAGCCTCTTGTCAGTGACATTATCAGGACCCACAATAGCTCCCTGATATACAGCAAAAGAAAGGGGTCGAACCCCTGGGCAGAAAAAACTCGTTCGACTGTGGCACTCTTTCGGTGCCTAACTGTCATGCCACCCGAAGGTTGTACGAGGGCTGAGATGCTTCCAGATTACCCAAGCCTAGACAGGGGAAGTCGAGAGACAGAGGTCGGGTTCTAACCACGGACCTTCCGGTCAGTAAATTCGTGCTCTGACCACTCGGGCCATCTCGCCCCTCTGGGCAGAGCACTTTGAACAGTGATATAGTTGGACACTTGCTGCCTCCACTCCGGAATCCAGGCCTTCGACAGAAAGTGAACTGTGAATATAGAACCGTCTTCAACCTCAGAAGTGCCTGAGTGCATATCTCTACTGAAGCGTCATCGTGTTTTTGGTCCCGATGACCTTCCTGCTCTGTTCAAGGATGGCAATGGGTTTCTCAGTCAGTGTTTGTCTAGCCTACTTGGGTCTATCTGGGAAATGATAATAGTGACCATTTTCGAAAAGGGTACTTGCAGCGAATGTAGGAGCGACAGGGGTGTTAGTTTCACTGTTATCGTGAGAAGGCTTCTGGCGTCATTGATTCTTCGTCGTCTTACGGTGGCATACAAAACCTTGACTCATTAGAATCAATTGGGATTTTAACCGGATGGAGGCTGTGTTGACCACAACTCCACATTCCGTTGGGTGTTAGAGCAACGCCACATGTACAGAGGACCCACAATGTTGGTGTTTTTTTTACTTCAAGGGTGCGTTTGATTTTGTCGATTGGTCAATGCTGTTGACTAGACTTGTTCAGCGGGGTATACGCAAGAAGTTTGAAAATAATCTGATCCCTATATTTACACACTTCTAGGCGTGTGAGTCTATGGTGAGCTCTCCAAAGCCTTCCTACAAAGAATGGTGTCCGAAAACGGTGTACACTCCATTTTTGTTTTGTTTTTTCGCCATTGATGAAATAATGAGGCGAACGCTAGGACGTCTTCGAAATCTCTCTTTTCAAATTATTGCTGGTGAGAACGTTGTCAGTCTTGAGTACGCAGATGGCATCGCCCTCATCTTTGAGGACCAAGGCGAAGTACAAGCCCTGTTGACTAGTGCATCCATCGTCATACTATCTTTCGGCATGTGCCTTTCACCTTCAAATTGCGAAGTTGTGCTTCAGAAAGTGCAGTTTCTGAACATACCCCTTACAATTCAAGGGGACTGACTGAATGTGGAGAATTTTTCATACCTTGGTAGTTGTATTAGCTCTGATGGAAATGTCTGACGAATCTGGAAGGCCCGAATAACCTTTCCTAACTCGCGTCACCTGTGGAGTCCAAAAGACATATCATTGGGTCTCAGGGGTTGCGTGTACCAGGGTTGTTTTCTTGTATGATTGTGAAAGGTCGCCTATAAGGACAGGTGATGTAAAGCGCCTACAGGTTTTTGGCAACCGATGCCTCAGAAGCGCTGTTGGTATCGGATGGCTTTAATAGATTATTAACGAGGTAATTAGAAAACGTATTTGGTTGTGCGGCAGATACCTCAATCGCCCAGTGTTGCGCACTCGAATGATTGTGCCAGAAACAGAGAATGAGGATTTCCGAATGATTGGCTTTAATCTTCTATCAATTTCAGTACATCAGCTAAAACATTAGGAAACAATTAGCTCAACGAATAGCGAGTAAAAAGTTAAACACAACGTCAGTATATAACATTCTTCCCCGCCGGAGGGATTGTCAGGAAAATATAAATTAGGCTTCGCGGTTTCGAAGATTATACGGTCGAACACGTTGTTGGTCTGTGATGTACTGTAGGACATTCCCTGGAACCTCACTGGGTTGTTCTGGTGGTGCCGTTTCGCCTCCAGGAGGATCAAGCGAGTGTGATTGAGTCTCGTCTGGAGGAGCCGCTGCACTTTCGATTGATTCAGATAAATAGACATCTGATATTGTCTGTGCTTTGGGTGCCAGATGTCTAAGAGAAACAGTTTCTTCCTTTCCGTTCGGGAAACGAACGCAGGCATACTGCGGGTTACAATTAACAAGTTCCACCTCTTCCACTAACGGATCGTATTTGGAAGAACGTGTCATCCTTTTTAACAGAACGGGGCCTGGAGTCGATAACCAAGTCGGAAGAGAGGTGCCGTACGTTGACTTCCGGTGGAAGTTAAGGAATCTTTCATGTGGTGTCGTGTTAGTAGCGGTGCACAATAAGGAGCGAACAGAGTGCAAAGCATCTAGAAGCACACATTCCCACTCGGTAATGTCCCGTTGTTGGGTCTTCAACGCCAGAGTGATAGACTTCCAAAGAGTACCATTAAGCCGTTCGACTTGTCCGTTACCGCGCGGATTGTATGGGGTAGTTCGACTGGTTGCTACACCCCTGTCGTGAAGAAACGTTTGTACTTCACCTGACATGAAAGCTCCACCACGATCAGAATGGACGTATGAGGGCATTCCGAACAAAGAGAACAACTGATTAAAACACTTGATCACGGTGGATGAGGACACATCCGTACACGCGAAGGCGAATGGGAAACGAGAGTACTCGTCGATCATTGTTAGAAGGTATTTGTTGTGGGAGGTCGATGGAAGTGGGCCTTTAAAATCTATGCTGACGCGTTCAAACGGCTGTGTAGCTTTAATAAGATTGCCAAAAGGGTGATTGAGGAAACGAGGCTTCAATTCCGAACAAATACTACACTGATTTGTAATCGCCTTAACATCCTCGGTCGAAAACGGCAAATTTTTTGAGCGAACGAAATGAAGCATCCGCGTGATACCGGGGTGACATAATGTATTATGAAGATGTTTGAGATCCACCTGTGACATCGCAGATACGTAATCAGTCCGCGATAGTGCGTCAGCGGCTTTATTCTGATTACCTGGACGGTACTGGACATCGTAATGAAAACAGGACAGTTCAAGTCTCCATCTCTGGATTTTGTCGTTTTTTACTTTGCCTTTGTGTTGTTTGTCGTACATAAAGGCGACTGATCGTTGGTCCGTGACAAGTGTGAAGTGATTGCCGATCAGGTAGTGTCTCCACTTTCTCAGAGCTTCAACAATCGCGTACGCTTCTTTTTCGATTGCTGAATGATGCCGCTCACTGTGTGACAGAGTGCGTGAAAAGAAAGCTACCGGGCGCCCGTCTTGATTGAGAGTGGCCGCAATGGCTATGTCGGAAGCATCAGTTTCCACAACGAGTGGACGAGTGTAGTCTATGGTGAAAACGGCTGCCTTTTCCAAATCGTGTTTGAGCTTATTCAGTGCCGCTTGTACGCTATCTGGAATCGGGAAGATCTGATTGCGGACGATTTGATGAATCTTATCTGAGAAACATGGGATCCAGTGTGCGTAGTATGCCAGCATTCCGACCAATCTTCGTTGTGAACGGATGTCACATGGATGAGGCAACTCCCGTAGGGCTCGAAAACGTTCAGGATCCGGTTTTATCATACCATGAGATATTTCGTATCCCAGTAATAGTACTTTCGCAGTAGCTATGATGCTCTTTTTCTGGTTAAATGTAATACCGTGACGTTTTGAGGCCTCTAAGAATTTCTTCAAATTTCGATCATGTTCCTGGGCATCGCGACCACACACGGTAACATTGTCAACATATGCGAATGTATCGAGCAGATTTTCCTCGCGTATGATGTTGTCTATGGTGCGTTGAAAGCAGGCCACACCATTAGTAACTCCGAACGGAATGCGGCGAAATTGAAAGAGTTTACCACATGCCTCGAATGCAGTATATGGCTTGTCTTTGTCGAGAATGGGGATCTGGTGGTACGCACTTTGAAGGTCTAGTGTGCTAAACACCGTGTAATGGGAAACCTTCTCTACAAGTTCGTCCACCTTCGGCAGAGGATACGCATCAAGGTAAGTGAAGCGATTTATGGTTTGACTGTAATCGATGACCATGCGCTTCTTATGCCTGTCATTCGTAGTAACGAGAACCTGAGCGCGCCAAGGAGAGTTAGACGGCTCAATAATTTTGTCAGCTAGTAACTTCCGAACCTCCGTCTCGATAAATACCGTATCCGTGCGAGAGAAACGACGAGATTTAGTGGCAATTGGAGTACATCCAGGGGCGAGATTATCAAACAAAGAGGGGGCGTTAACTCTCGCTGCTTTCAATGTGCATATGGCGAATGGGGGCCGCTTACCCGTGAATGGTATGATGACACTTTGGTGTTGACTGAGGAAATCCAAGCCAAGGATGACGTCTGAACACAAATTGGATAAGAGCGAGAGTTTGACACTTTCGTATAGTGTGCTTTTGTACAGAACGGTAGCATAAAGATGACCGCTAGTAACACACGATAAGTTCGTTGAAGCCATCGAGATAGCGCTCTTAGAGGATGTTATTGTCCAACCATGCTTTAGTGCGATGTCAGAAGAAATATAACTTTCGCAACTACCAGTATCGATAAGTGCGTGAAGTGGGATATTATTCACTATAACATCAACGATTGATTTGGAAAGTCCCATGGATGAAGAGATGTTGAAAATGGATGAGACACCAGGGTTCACCGTCGATGTGATACGGCTTGAACCCAGTTTGGATCGACAAACTTTTTGGAAATGACCTTTCTTGCCGCAAGAATGACAGAAAGACTCACGAGCCGGGCATTTTGAACGAATGTGCTTACCGTTGCCACAGAAGAAGCAAGATAAGGATGTGCTTGCAATCGTGTCACTAGATTCCATCTGAGAGATAAAAGCATCACGAACAGGAGTAAGAGGCTTATCAGTTTTGATAGATGCGGCGCCACAGGGAACATGAGAAGACGAGTCGTATGAGAGTGACTGTTGTTGAGCATGTTCAAGCAGACGTGCCTCGTCAAAAGCTTGTTGAAGCTTAAGAGTGTGTTTTTCTAGTAGTCGTTGGCGAACGGAATTAGACTGCAAGCCTGTGATAAAAGCGTCTCGAATAGCCTCATCCCGATGTTCATCGGCAGAAACCGCACGAAAATTGCAGTCCTTGGCAAGGTAACGTAATTTTTGCAGGAACGCGTCGACTAATTGGCCCGGTTCTTGTTTGGTAGTAGCCAGCACGTGGCGGGAAAACACTTCATTTTTGGGTTTAATGTACATCTTTTCGAGCGTCTGGATGGCGTCTTCGTAAGTAGTACAATCACAAACATGTTGATAGACGGACGGAGAAAGGAAATTTACCAAAAGTTTTCTTTTGTCAACGTTTGGGAGTTCGATGCATGAGAGGAAGTTCGTAAACGTTTCGTGCCAATGGATCCATTGTTCTGAAGCAGAAGAGGATTGGGGGTCGGCGTCAAACCGATCTGGTCGAAACAATCGTTCCATTGTATTTTGATAGAAGATTAAATTGTTGCGCACTCGAATGAGAACGAGGATTGCCGAATGATTGGCTTTAATCTTTATCAATTTCAGGCACCGTCTACCGAGGTGAGTCTTCTCCGTGCCTCCTTCAGAATGATGCAAGCCGCGAGGTGAACAGCGTATGACTTAGCAAAGGGATGTCAAAGAGAGTACGGAGAGTTTGGGTGTTGTTGGTGCGGTCCCCGTTACCTCCTCCTACGCCTGCCTGGAGACATTGCAAGAAATAGCGACTGGTCGCTGGCAATGGTGTTATTGCTATTAGTTGTTTCCCAGGTTGTTTGATTGAGTGATGTAGAGGTGTAGACACCTCAAAATGCTCGACACTGACCAGTAATAGGTCCCCTCCATAACATAATCCGGTTTTCACCCAGGCTTCAAATGTATTCAGACAAACCTTGTGGTTGTACGGCAGTGAAGCATCAATGTCGACGCTGATGTTGTCTTTCATGATGATGACCTGAAAGCAAATGAGTCTTTTGGTGTAGTTTAGAGGGTTGCTGAGCCCACAATGAAAAATGCTACACTTTTAGGGGATGCCAGATGAATTAGCAGATTTCTTCACTATAAGTAAGCTCACAAATACAGATCGAGTCAGAAAGGCGATAGAAACGATCGTTGAAACCAGGTAGTCAGAAAAAATAAAGGCGGAACCTGAGAAATACTTCAAATGCATCTAGTCCAAGGCTTGATTGTGGGTGAGACTTTGACGAACCCGGATAGTACTAAAATGGTTGCCATGTTTTCTACCTTTTTGTAGGTGCAGCGTTGTGGTCGGGGGTCCACTTGATCCCTTTTAACCTTCAACTTAACAGACCCCTCGAATGACACACAAAGATAAGAGACCCAATCGTAGCAAATTTTTGGGTCCAGATGAACTGCGTAAGACACCCGGAGTGCCCAATCGTGGTGAGCTAGAACTTAAGATATCGTTTGGTTGCCGGAGATCTGAATGCGTAAGTGGCAGGCTTAGCGCATCTGAGACTCACTTAGGTGGTCGACATGGATTAGACAAGGTACTACGGACAATGTTGAACGATTGCTTCAAGTGTGTGTTGACTGCAGGCTGTTTTCATGCCGTACTAGCTTCCGAAATAGCCAAAGTCTTCTGGCCGCATGCCCTTCAACGGTTTGCCAGCTACGAGCTCAACTTGATCACATTGCCATCAGTTACCGATGGCCCGAATCAACAACTGACTGCCGGTCGTTTTCGAACACATTGTGGATTCCGACCATTCGTCCACGTTCGCTATTCCCTTCGTTATCTGGGGCTGAGTAAGTTGAGAACAAATTGTTTGGCAACTGATGGACTTGCAGATCCGGATAGTTGACGGATTTACCAGAATCATCTGGATTCTGCCAACTGCTCCACTATCAGATGTGAATTCATACTGGGACGAGATCGCCACCTCTTTGCACAGCACTGGGAGTTTTGCCCATAACACGGCGTTGCCCGCCCCTCTCAGCCACTCGATATCAGACCGAACGGTGCTAGTGCTTGGATCTCGAAAAAATATCCCATCCATTCCCATATATCTTTCGACCCGAGGAATTATCAGGCATCACGTCAAAGTGAGTGTGCTAGCTGACCATGAAGTCTGGTAGAAGCCAGAAAGCCGGAAATGCCCGAAGCTTATTTAAGTTGGTCCGTTCGACTGATCCCCTAAAACCACGTGTGGGCGAAACCATCAAGGATTAGCATAAAGCGACCATATCGAATAAAGAACGCCTCGACCGTTGGGCCGAATACTTCAGACAGCAGTTATCGTGGTCATCAGCTGCCGCTCGTATGGAGCCCACAGCTAACGTAGAAACCTAAAGGGTGAATGTGGAACCCCCTACTGCCTCCGAGGTTTGTGACTGCACACGCTGTTTCATGCACCACCGAACTTCTGGTCCGATAGAATCCTCTGACACCAGTGTTGAACACTGATGTCAGGCTGTCCATGACGATGATGATTTGGATGCGAATAGTCACACGAGTGCTCCTGTTTCGTCCGTATTTCTGAAAAGCGCACACCGTAGAGTTTTGTCGTTCCCTTGTGTCTAACCCGTGGTTTCTCTAAGGTCCAACTTCCCACCTTTGGTCACTCCAGTCGCAGTGGGTCACAAAAACATTTCATTAAGGTTTTCGAGTGCTGCCGTCGTAGATTTTGTCTCTTCCTATGCATTCAGGTTTGTTCAATGGAGATAACTGTCCCATACGCAGAATTTGTTCTTGGAACGTACCACTGCGGGTTGACTTGGCGGGGAGTATGAAGTAGGTCACGAAATGCTTGGGTGCTGTCGGTGCTACTCGCTTCCAGGATGGGAACCGCGTGATCCCACTGCGCCTGGTTGAAGACACTACAGGATATGGCTGCCAGCCGATGTCAGTGGCGTTCTTGTTGTCAGTTTCTATCCAGATTGCCTGAGTGAATGTCTGGAAGTGTAGGCACTTCGGAACGATTGTGGTATGCTAGCAGCACGTCCCTTTCCCGTCCACCTTTATTCTTTTCTTTACAATAAGGCTTTCAAACAAATCTTGGTTCTACGGCAGCGAAGCATCGGTGTTGAACACTGGTGTCATGCTGTCGATGATGATGATGACTGCAGGTTAATAATGTAAAAATGTCTGCCTAGTACAGCACAACCACGTTCATGGTCCAAATAGTGAACCTTATTGGTTTCTCTGGACACTTGAGGCATTCTTTTGACATTCCCATTTCTGATAGCTTTCTGTTATGTTAACGTACAGCCTGCTGTCTAGTCTATTGTACGTTCAAACAATATAATGTCACATTCATTTGGTTCTGCCCTAATCAATATACGTCATATTGGCACCCTGGTGGAATAAAGGTAGTACTGATCCTCCAGATTCCAAGATCGTAAATCAGTACGTCGCCTTACCTTCCGCATTGTCAGCAACGCCAGTGTCGATCTTCACTGGTTACCCTTTTTGTTTGTGGGCACTCAGTAGGTGGTTGCATATACTTAGCCAGGCACTGTGGCGAAGAATGACTGTGTGGGTTGTTGTGGCAGATCTGATAAGATCACTCTCTGCAATAAAGTTTATTCGCTGTTTCACTTCACGACTGTATTTGGTTATGCTTGCCTTGCACAACACGCTTTATCCTGCTCAGATAACCTAATGCCAACTTTTTTTATCCTGTTTTCAGCATTTCCGTAAACCGATCCTGTTATGTTCTACTAATTGAATGCAGAGATCAAAATGCGACCGGTGATTTTCATCCGACCTATTTATCTCCCAAAAACACCGCACTACGTGTAAGTTCCCATTCCTGTGTCGAGAGTCGCTCAGCCCACTGTGGCAGCGCCACATAGAATACCCGAAATTTACTCCTGGAGATCCTCCCATCCGATGTTTCCTCACCCCATTCTGGATGAAGATGATCTACCCTGGTCCCAACAACCCCACGGACCAAGTGATCTTTAAAGTTCATCCGCAGTAGGTTACCTTTCGAATCATCAGTGACTTAGCCCATAAGGATGACGGCATCCGATGTGCAACAGTATTTGGAAAAGATTTACAACACTTCTGTCCTCCACGTTCGATTGAAAATGTGTTATCACGATTGTAAGCTGACTAACATTCGTTTTACCTACTTTGGCAGTGGAACCCACGGATCAGTCGCCAATAAAGATGTTCCGACGTGCATTAGACCCTTTTTTACTACCACCGAAGCCAGAACGCTATGAAAAACTGGCATACGTCCGGCTTGTGAGTGTATATTTTGCATCTTTGTTCGTTATAACCCGTGCCTTGAACTCTGTAAGCTGGTCGTTCTGTACCAGTCTGAGTACCTTCTGTTTAATTGATTGCGGAAAGTTAAACTGTCCTTGTAACCCGGGTTACCCCCTCTCTGCTCTACTTTCCAGCCCCCAGGGACCACGTTTGAATTTCCGAATTTGTTCAAGACCAAAAGACCCTCTTCTGTCATGGATGTCGTTGGATCCACAGGAGCTACAGATGACACAACATCTAAATCTTCGACTGACTCGGACACAGTTACCTCCTCGCCTTCAGAAACAAAGCCCCCAATCAGTCATAAGAAGCTCCCTAGTTGGTTCATTCGGTAGTTTTTTTTCTCACTGGAATATATTTTGATTGCACTTTTACCATGTTACTTTTGGTTTTCAATCACGCTTTCTTGAGCCTGCCGAGAAGCCCGGTGGAGATATATGTGCCTTGGTAAAACTTTCCTCTGTTCCTCAGGTAATAATCGCTTCAGCAGAACACCAGCATTTGCGTGGTCGCTCCCTAATAAGAAAGTATCCTGAAGTATATAACTGGATATAGCTTGTTGCAACGTCTTCACATATCCATTGGGTGTTATTGCCCTTTTAGAGGGCTTGCTGATCGGGTAAAATATAGTGTAAAATGTGCACTCACCCTTGTGAACAATGATCGCCACAGGGCAAGTAGTTATTTAGCCTTTCCTGAGGATGGCATTTCTTGGCGGTGGGTGGGGTCGCATACTTCGTGGTTTTTGTTGACTCTTCATTGGAGTGATTGGTCCTCGGATTTCAGGAATCGCGTACGTATTTGGAATATGTGCTGACAGCTGACCAGTCACGTTGTGTTGTTTTAGAATGTAGGTACCATCAGCTTCCAACTAATGATTTCACGGTGTGCATGTCTCCTTTTGCTTTTCAGACGATAATCTAACTCTTTTCCTCATTGTCGATTACCGCCGTCAAACGAGTTTCCGTTCATATCACCGATAGGACCACTGTCCCATTTCAGTATTTCGCAACTGTACCTACATCGTAGTTTAGTTTAGGAAACTATATAGCTGACCTGGGTCGAGTTGTTCCTCAGAATGTCTCGTTGAGGCTCTCTCATTGCTTCAACGTCCTCAGTCAGAAGGGTGGGTAAAACGTGAGCCTGCATTTGACAGCCACGAGTGGCAAGGTTTGTTTGGGAATCGATATGGTCGTATTGATTGACATCGGAATGACTCGCCCCTCCGACTTACTACTGTCGACAGCAGAACGGAAAGAAACGCTGCAAAATCACAAGTGCATGGACGTAATTGGCTGTCAATGAAGTCGTAAATTTTGGGCTAACTCTCCAGAGAGCGTAAACCGTCGTGGTGCTCAAAGTTTGTGTAACACCTTGCTTATATTCCTATCACTCGCGCGATAGTTTAAACACAATTGTTGGGGGTTGGTTGAAACGTATGGGTTTCAAGAGTTAAAAGTGTTTCCCATGTGGCTTGGATCCCATGTGTGGCTTGTGGTTATTGTTCAGTTGCTTAAATCCAAGTGTACTTTTGTGCACCAGAATGGTACGTATATACTTCTATTTCTTGACCTTGTCTCGGTGGTTGGGCCGGTGTGCTGCAATGATCCTGTGGACCATACTTGCTGGAACTCACTTCTAAAGGTTCAACCATGCCAGGAAGGTCAGCGATGATCGAAACTGTAGCAGCTAGGACCATTGTATCCACGGTACACGGTTTATAGCTGATATGTTGAAGTTAACTGTATTTACTCCTATTCATTCTGATACGCCCTGCTCTGAATACCAGAAAAAGTTGCATATATTTCCCAATTTAGGCCGGTTTTTGCTACTGGCAGCATAATTTTATTGATAAATTAAATACGTGACAATGGGCAATATTGACAGTCGGGGTTTCCAAGACCTTGTATCTCTACAACCTCTGGATGGGTTGTTAGTTTTTTTCAACTCGGTTTATAGAAGTTCGTTACGCAACCTCCGCGTGACTGAGCGGTTTTGCAAGGAGATTATTGCCCGTTGTTGGCCATGCCGGCTCTCTTTTACGCCCTCGGAATAATCTGTGGAAAAATCGTTCAACTACAACACCTTTTCGGTGCCTTGCTGCCATTCCAGCGGAAAAGAGGCACAAAAGCTGGGATACTACCAGGTTGCTCATACCTAGACAGAATCAGTCAAGTTTCTGAGGTTGGATTCGAACCACGGTCCTTCCGGTCCGTTAGCTGGTGCCTGATCTACGGCTATCTCGAGCATGGCAGCTAAGAACCGAAAAAGTGCTACAGCTGAACGGTTTTCTCTGAATTGGAATATGGGGTGTTTGACATGGAGACATTCAATTGAATGACGCGCCACTCTACTTCCCCTTTCTAGGCTCGGGCGACTTGGCAGTATAAAAAATCGCAACGCGAATCATATTGCAAGGGACATCAAGTAAGATACGCCTGATAGAAACACGATTTCCTTCTAGAGTAATTCTCATAAAACTTATGAGAATTTCGACTCTAAGTCCACGAGGAGATTATAAAGTATCCGTACCGCTCTATTTATCTAGCTGTACTGCATCGGTGGGGGGGATTTCGTTGTATTCTGTGAAAGTAGAAAATCCAACCGGCTACTGATATCCCGTTAGTAGTGTATGGTGATCCCGATTCTGAGAAATTAGCAACACGTTTGACGTGTGTTCTGAGGTTCGAAAATGACCAACACTGTGTGAAAGGTACACTGTTCACCGGCTGACGCCAAGCTAACACCCGGTTGAGTGGGGTCCCGATGTCCAGCGACACATATGTATGTGATGTAGGAATAAATCGATCTTCCCGACGGACAATGTGAAGCGACACTGTCACCTGGAATCCAGCTGAATCTCTCGTTTGTGATGTTTCCAGCTGCATTGTGTCGGAATAATCTGTGGAAAAATCGTTCAGCTACAACACCTTTTCGGTGCCTTGCTGCCATTCCAGCGGAAAAGAGGCACAAAAGCTGGGATACTACCAGGTTGCTCATACCTAGACAGAATCAGTCAAGTTTCTGAGGTTGGATTCGAACCACGGTCCTTCCGGTCCGTTAGCTGGTGCCTGATCTACGGCTATCTCGAGCATGGCAGCTAAGAACCGAAAAAGTGCTACAGCTGAACGGTTTTCTCTGAATTGGAATATGGGGTGTTTGACATGGAGACATTCAATTGAATGACGCGCCACTCTACTTCCCCTTTCTAGGCTCGGGCGACTTGGCAGTATAAAAAATCGCAACGCGAATCATATTGCAAGGGACATCAAGTAAGATACGCCTGATAGAAACACGATTTCCTTCTAGAGTAATTCTCATAAAACTTATGAGAATTTCGACTCTAAGTCCACGAGGAGATTATAAAGTATCCGTACCGCTCTATTTATCTAGCTGTACTGCATCGGTGGGGGGGATTTCGTTGTATTCTGTGAAAGTAGAAAATCCAACCGGCTACTGATATCCCGTTAGTAGTGTATGGTGATCCCGATTCTGAGAAATTAGCAACACGTTTGACGTGTGTTCTGAGGTTCGAAAATGACCAACACTGTGTGAAAGGTACACTGTTCACCGGCTGACGCCAAGCTAACACCCGGTTGAGTGGGGTCCCGATGTCCAGCGACACATATGTATGTGATGTAGGAATAAATCGATCTTCCCGACGGACAATGTGAAGCGACACTGTCACCTGGAATCCAGCTGAATCTCTCGTTTGTGATGTTTCCAGGCTGCATTGTGATTTCTGCTCGTCCAAAAGAGCATGCATTTGTTGACTGCATAGTCGACAGCGAAACAGCCGTCTCAAGATTGCAGGCTAACTTCCACTTTTCATATTGATAAACATGAAACACTAAGCTAGCCCTCACCAGCGACTCGCTTTCCTTTCACTTTGGTGGTTCTTTACAGTTTTTCTGGAGTTCCATCTGTCTAGCTGAGATCCAACTGCGCAGCTACTTTAGACGATCATAGGTTTTTGTGTTGTGGATCAAACGCTTATAGGATATTGGAAAGGGTTACACTAGGTGAACACGTTTTCATGGGTTTATTTTCTGGTGAATACAGATCTCACGTACGATGAGACGTAATAAAGTTGAACCAACTATAGCAAAACAAGGTAGGAAAGACTGCGTGTTACTCAGGTGATCTAACGTACACCTTATTGTTCGGATCATGAGAGGTCAAGAGAGATGATGTATCGTGTACTATCGCCACACAAGAGGCGAAGACTGGACAGTTTCATCCGTTGGGATTTGACAGATCTGCTCCGTGCAGAAAATTCATGTGTTGCGTGGTCAACAACAATCATGAGATCGCGTAGTCTGATCACTTTTGACCAGGTTTTTTGGCACTTGACACACTGTCTGAAACACAGTTCCCTGATTGAGGACGCTCATAGAACCTTACTAATTGAGTTTTGCTTATTGGTTTTACTCTAGTCAAAGTTCTGCATCATGAACTGCAGATCACAATCTGCACGGATGACTGTCGCGAAAGACCTGATAATTAGCGAACGATCGGCTCAGAGCTTTCGAATCTTGATATATTCAGTCGAACAAGACGCCTAGTTCTTCGTGGTCATCGGGCAGGGACTAGGGATCACACATGCAGTCAAGGTCTTCAGCTGTGTGTGTGTATTTGGTCGGGACGCCATCCTGAGAAGTAGCCAGTTTACTGAAAGTCCCCTCTCTTGTGGCTGATTTTTTGGGACCCGTCTACACGTTTGCGATTAACAATTTCAATTGCTAGAGCATGAATATATTCAAGTGTTCCGAATCCTGACTATGGAATATTCTTTACGTAAAGGTCCGATCGGTGAAATTATTGTTTGGAAACATTCTGCTTACGACACAAAGACTCGTCAGGCCAAAAAGACGACTTTTATTCTACTCGGTCTGTTTGTATCGACTTCTGGTGTGGGCTTGTACAATGCACAGTGAGGTTTGTATAAAAAAGTACCATTCTTTTTTCCCATATATGCATGGTCTCGGTAGCTGGTCGAATCCTGCTTCTAACCCTGAGGTGACCGGGGCATGTCCTCTACAGGGCGTTTCAAGTAACTTGTGTTCAGAGAGGTCAGTACAGGTCGTCGTTCCAACATGATTTGATTTCCACCAAGGCCTCACTGAAGGATCAAAACATGTCTGACATCTATCAATCATTGCTAGGTTGTTGGAATTCAAGGGAAAATATTGCATGGGGCTATCCTTTTTTTGGATTTAAACGGGAGATTTTCGATCTTTGTATAAGAATTTAGAATGCATCTCACGATGTTACTGTCACACTCTCGGATCACACATGTACATAGGGAGGGGGTCTACTGTCCCTGAGCCATCCTATAGCTGTATCCATGTGCCTAGCTGGATTTCAGTCAGTCAAATTTGAGGGGAAGTTAGTCTAAGACTCAGAGGTGAGGCCTCCTAAAGCAACCGGAAAAACGGTAACGGCTGGAACTACTCAAATCTAAGCCAGAGGCATCATGCTTGGCTTGGTGTCTTTGAAAGTTTAAGTGAACTATGTCATTGGTGATCATTTCGTGTTAGTCGCTTTGCACAACTCGCGTGTGAACCTGGATCCCATTCGATCCCTGTTCTGTCTCTGAAGTTCACGAAGCCAACCGAAAACAATAAATATGGTAAGTGTTATAGCGGGTGTATCACAGAGACAGCCGTTTTAGACCATTTTGTCCCATGGTTGTCCTCGTACCTTGAGCTTTGCACACCACCCAGTAACGTTTGTCAATGTATTGGCCCAAACTACGGAGAGTCCTGAAGACTGTGCACGGGCGAGTTTCCCGGTCCAATGGAACCAATGAAAGATGTGATTTGGCAGCTGACTTCTTCGTGAGCTTTAAGTGACGATTGAACCACCTCGAAGTTCATCACTGTGATGAACTGATGATGACTGATACTCTATTCATTGCTCTATTCATTATTCTCTTGTTTTAATATTCCCTATGCTATACATATTCGCCAGTTCGAATACATACGTGCTGGTTGCTACGCTTCGCTGAATTCTGGATTTCTAGTTCGTCTGGTCATTCCGATATACGTACGAAACTTAATTCTCACAATCACCCACGTGGAAGTAACCTACTTGTAAAACCGTGTTTTGGATAAAGTCCCTTCTATGCATTAGATTCGGTTAAGCGCACGGCGCGATGGAACTACACGTGAGCTCAACAATCGGTACTCTGGAGACTGACGGACGAACGAGGTGAAATACGGTTAGTCGACGGTGGCTTGATAGCATAGGTGACGGTCTCCTGAGCATGCCACGCACACAGGAAAATACTCTAATTGACTAGCACGATATCAGGATTTCAGAACGCTCGATAGATCCGAAAACCCCGAAAGAAGAGGTGAACATCAACCGAGGGTATATTTACTTCAAACCGAAGATGATTTCACTGCCCCCTTATTACTTATGCAACTTCAATGGCGCTGAGAAAAAATTTCGTTGGTACAATGAAAGCCCATTCGACCATTCAGAGAAGTGAAAAAAAATCGCAGGTGGTCTTTTTAAAGCCTTATAAACACGGTGGACAGTTTTTAAAACCCAGTAATAAAAGATTTGTAGACAAAATACTGAAAAATAGGTCAATTTCAGGGAGAACGTCTTTCACGCTTTCTTGAAGCACTCCCTCTTTTAACACGTGCGCCTTATCGTATTAATTGGACTGAATTAGTTGGCTGTATGCGG